TTAATAATAAAAAATAAAAATATTTTAAAAAATACACTTATTTGTTTTTAAACATGTCCTTATTAGTCATTTAATATTGTTTACATGTCTTTATTAGTCATTTAATGTTAATTAACAACCGTTAAATATTATATAGTCAAACAACTATATTTATCGAATTCGTTATTTACCATCTGCTATCCACTTTTTGCTATCCTTCATCCGTTATCCGTTAACTGCCACCCACTACCCACTACCCACTATTATTATTCATTATCTGCTACCTACCCTCCGCAATCCGTTAATTTTAACAGTTGTACCGAACAGCCATAAGACTAATAGAGGGCCGATCTGCCATCGGTGGCAAAATAGTGTATGGGTATTGTACTGTAATATTCTCAAACAAAGCCTAATTAGTGAATGTGGTAAGCTTTTGGGATCCGAAGTTTTGTTTTACAGTGGAAACTCTAATGCTAAATAGGGCAAAAGTTAAGTAGGAAAAAGGAGGAAGAAAACATAGAAGAGAGACAGAGGGGCTCCCCCTCCACTACCCACTAGGGTAGAGATCGAATTTTTGTTGAAATGTTGCAGTGAGACATTCCAAACCAATTTCTAAAGGGAGGGGAGGGAAAGGGAAAGGAGGGACTTGAACCGAACCATATAATATTGCAGGTTAGCTTTTGCTTTACTCTCGATCACCCATTCTTTATCTATTATTATAATTCACAATCATATCATTGCATGAATAATATATTTGTTTCTATTGTTAGTTACTTTAATTTAGCTTTTTCTTTACCAGAAATTCTATCAATTTTCATTGCTTTTTAGTGGAAAAATTATCAGTGTTGGATGGTATATGGAATGTTTGATTTCGTTGTTGCTTAAATAAGGAAAATATTTTGAGCAATTGGATGAATTTATTTATCATAGGTAGAACAATTCGTTGAGTGATGGTCAGCAATTTATGGTGATATTATCTTTTTTTGTTTTTTTCTTTTTCTGGTATATATAGTTTTGGTCAAGAGGTAAAAGCAATTCATCCATACTGAATTAGGATATTTACAATGATCACCTCCTAGGCTTTTGATTGTTACGATAATCATACTCATGTTGTTGTTATTAGGGTTGAATTAATTCATTATATACAATTTTCATCTCTAATTGGAATTCTTTCAAGAATTTGACAAGAGAGAAGAAATAAAACTTTGACTGCAATAATCCTTGGGTTAAAAATATATTAGGAAGAAAAAGAATTATTATCATTTTTAAGTAAGGGGTATTTGGAAAGTGAACAATTTGGCTCCATACTCTGTGGAATAAGTTAGAGAATGAATGATACGCTTTACCCTTTCTTTTTTCTCTTCAACATGCTACTGTAGACTTAAACTTTGATTTCAAATGGTAGATCCATACTTCAAGCAGCAGAACGTTGAGGAGAGGATGTAGGTGCCAAGTTTTGGTTGAATCTATGTAGTATTAAACATAATATTTAGTTGTGTCTGCGGCATAATGTACACATGTTGTAACGCCTGGCACTGTTATCACTCACCTTGTACGGTTTCCTACACTGTCCCTTGAAATGCTTTAACAAATGGAAAATGATTGGTAGGTTTTTCGGTTTAACACATCTTTCGATATTTATTCAGTTTAATTATTAAAATATAATATAACTAATTTAACCAATTCCTTTATACCGTATCCATGATTATATTTTTAAGTTTGTTTGCCTTTAATTTCATATAAAAAATAATAATTTTGTAATAAATATGTTATTATAGTGTATTGAATCAAAGAATCTACTAATGAATGTCCATTTAAGACTTCTTTTTATTTTTGAAATGCATTAGTACTGGTCCGTCTTTTCTTCTTTAGATCTACACCATCAAACTTACTGAATTTTAAATTAATGGGTTTTCTTTGTAGAGCAAATATGGTCGGCTACTTTGTTTCATTTGAATAATTGTTTTCTTCTGTTCACTAATCTTTTTTTTATTTTTTCCTACTTTATCTATGTCTCTTCTTTAAACCTTTGTCACGTTCTTATATGTATGAAAGAGATTTTTTTGTCTTCAATGTTATTGTGTTTGTGCTAGCATTGATATATGTAATCACTTTATTTCTTTCGCATTTTTTTTGGCTGTGCACTAATCTTTGTCTCATTTTTGCTTTATCTTTGTCTCTTCTTTAAACCTTCACAAGTCCCATATCTTTGATTAAAGTGTTCTTTACGCATGGAATTTAACCACTTTATACGTGGCAATCAGCTTTAGCATTTTGAAATTTGACGAACAGGTCTTGACCTTTGTGTTCACTGCTTCTTTGAGCAAGGTATTTAGTCACTTTATTCTTTGGCGATGATCTTAAGCTTCTTGAATCTTAATAATTGAGTGATTCTTTCAATATGGTTAATCCTAAAGATGTTTGGTGGAGCTTAGAAGTAAACTTGCTTTTAAGTAAATTATTCTCTAACAAATTTAAAAATTTATTAGAGTGAGATTCAACAATTGGCTTGTAAATTGTCTTCTTTTTATTATATCAAACTAAATATTTAGAGATTCTTTTGAGAGCTAATCTAACAACTTTATTTCCTTTGAGAAATTGTTTTGTTCTTTTCACTTTTTTCCCCTTTTCCTCTTTTTGCATGGTCTAGTTCTCTTTGTTAAACCCTGTTCAAGTCTGTGAGCTTAATTAACATGTTCTTTAGGTAAAGCATGTAATTAAATTATCACGTTCTTCCTTTTAACTTGTGTAAGCTTCAAATTTGTCAGGACATTTGGCCTTTGGGTCCACCTGATTCTTTGAGCAAATCAAGTAATAGCTTTAATCTTTGGCTAGGCTACCAGCTTAAGCATCATGTACCCTTAGAATTGTAATGAGCAGTTCTTTAATTTGACTGAGCAAACATTTTTTGGATGAAGGATGAAAGCAATTACAAAAACGATTCTTGAACAAATCATATATTCACTTTCATTTTGGCAACAAGCTTACTTCTAGAACTTTCACAAATGATTGCATAAGCCAGGGTTCATTTGTTGCTTTAGAAATGCATTTGATCACCACTTTATTCTTGGACGTTAGCCTAAGTTTCTTGATTGTCCACATATATTGATTATCAATTTAAGCTTTTAGATTAAGTATTTTTTTTATTAACATAGAAAATAGTTCTTAACTTGGTACAAGGACATGGACAACTAATTTGACATCGAGGTTGCTTGTAATAATTGGTGTAAAGATCTGCTGCTTTTATTGTTGTCTTCCTAGCATCACATTTTTCTCTCTTGGTAAAATCCTAATTAATTACCATGAACACTTTTCAGCTAATCCTAATTGTTTTGCCTA